AACTGAAGATCAGAACAGGGTGCAACTTAGCCGAAGCCGCACAGCTAGTTACCTGGCAGAGACGGGTCCTCCAACGCCAAACCCAGAACTCTTTCCCTAAACCACTCGAGGTAAGAGCTGGCCGGCTGCCCTGGGATGACAGCCTCGGACCAGCCTGGTGCCAGCAGTCAGAATGTCGCGGCACCACCCTCCAGCTCCCCCTGTCCCAGCTAGGTGACCTCCAGCCATTCACTGCGGCTGTGGATCTCTTAGATGATGGGCTTGGACTAGAGAACTCCGAGGTCTCTTCCCGCTCTAAATGGAAGGTTCTATGCCCCTGAATTCTAAACACTCCCCTTCAGTGAAGACGCGATGACACGACCCCTCTGTAGCTATAATAAGATGCAAATGCACTTGAGCAAAGGACGATTTCCCTGGGAGACTCAGAGCACCCAAAGTTTTATAACAGGCGCTCGTGACACTAATTGCTACAAAGGGGGACAACCTCCCCCCACCCCCGCCACCAGTGGGAATCTTATTTAAGGCTGTAACATGAGGTGGGCTATTTAGGGAATCAAATTACACAGGAGCGCTGGAGAAAGAAGCGCATGCGGCGGATGAGCCCGGCTACAATTAATGTTAACTATGAGGTGTCGGCTTTGTCGAATACACACAACCTGAACTGTCAGGACGGGGAAGGAGAAAAGCCAAGGGAAGGGGGTTGGAAGGACAGGGTAGGCGGCTGAGGGTGGGAGGAGGAGGCAACTGACAGAAAAGGCCCACTGGGTCACATCACAGGGCAGGGTAGGGGGGGATGAATGTCCACCTCAGAGAAGCTGCAATCAGAGCTTGAGATCTTGGGGAGGCCCCGTTCACCCCGTGGCTCTGGGGAAAGAGAAGGCAGGGCCAGCTTAAGCCGAGAGGGAGCTAGGGTTTTATTTTCCTAGAACAGAACTGACTCCCAGTGCTGCAACCAAGAGCTCAGCCTGCGGCGGTGGAGAGAACGCTAGATTAGAATGCAAGCTCCTTGAGGGCAGGGACTATTTTTGCTTTATTTTTATCTTTCCAGTGCTATAATAAGCAGTCAGTATGCCAGTCATGGAAGTCCAGCGGCTGATCCACTCACAAAGAAAGCAATCAACACCAGTGCCACCATCTTCTTCTGGAAAGGATAGTAGGATACAGATAGGAGGTACAGAGGAGAGTGCAAGCTCTCTGAAGGTAGGGTTCATTTGGTCCTGATTATATACCCAGCACCTTGCAGATCATAGGGGTTCAATAAACTTTTTTTTTTTATTAATAAAGCTCTGGATTTGACAAAAGAGGACCTTGCCTGTGAGACCTTTGGCCTGAATGGCTTCTGAGACACCTTCCAGCTCTAGACCTATAATCATCTGACTTTCTCCCTTTCCCCCACACCTTGTGTGACCGATGGGTAGCCCACTGTATAGAGCACTGGGACTGGAGTCAGTAAGACCTGAGTTCAAATCCCACCTTGGACTCTTAGTAGCTGTATGACCCTAGGTAAGTCACTCTGCTTCCCCCGCTATAAAATGGGGATAATAATAGCACCTACCACCCAGGGTGGTTGTTAGGATCAAACAGGACAATATTTGTAATGTGCTTAGCCCAGCACCTAGCTCATAGGAAGTGCCATGTAAATGTTAGATATTATTATTATTATCTTTGAAATGTTCCTAGAGACAAAAGGGCCAAGCAGGTATAGAATGAGAGAGAGCCCAATGTGATCTGAAAACCTCTGAAAATAAGAGATTAAAGTTCTACTACAACAGCTGACCCCATTATGTAAATGACTAAGATTTGTGTTTAACCCAATGGGAAGTTGCTAAGCTTACTGATGGCTATTAGAGACAGAGGAGAGAGGGAGAGAGAGAAGAGATAAGAGAAGAAAGAGGAAGAGAGAAGAGAGAGAGGAGAGTGTGTGTGTGTTACTTCCTCACACTCAAACACATATTTTGAAACACTAATATAGTAATCATTCCTCTGGCATCCTCTATTACTGAAAATACACATGTGCTTTAAATTAAAATGGGAAGGCTGGTTAGCAGCCCCACGAGATATGTGGCTGCAGCTGTCTGTTTTTTAAAGGGGAAATCTTCAATGCTGAAAGGCACTGGGCTGACAGTCCCTGGAGTCCTCCACTCCCAGAATATGGATGGATTGGACGGAGGAGACAGAATCGATTACCCGTTAGCTTATTTAGTTCCCAAGTGAAATGAAAGGAAAGAGAGAGCACAGGATCACAGACTGGGCTAGAAGGGACCTTAGAGGTTATTGAGACTGACCCTTCATTTTACAAAGGAGGATGCCCAAAGAGGTTAAGGTACTTTCCAAGGTCAGACAGATCATAAGTATATGAGGCAGATTGGAACCCAGTCTTTCTGACTCCAAGTCCAGCACTCTATCAACTACTTTATGATTTAGGGGACTGTTCCTTGCTACTAGGAAGAGGGAAAGTGGAAGCCAGACTTGACCCAGGGCCCTCATCCAGGGGACACCAGGTAGCCCAGATCGGCCTAAACCAAGTCATCAATTTTGAGTTGAAGGTCAGAAACCATTTAGCCAACTCCCTCATCTTCCAGGGGTGGAAATGGAAGTTGAATTGCCTAAGGTCAAAAGTGGAAGGGGTAGGATTTGAACCCAGGTCCTCAAACTCCTAAGTCAATGTTCTTTCCATCATACTATACCTTTTGTTGTCCTCTTTGAAAAGGAAGGACCAATGATATTACTGGTGATGTCTAGACTTGGCTGTGAATAGGATTTGCCTTTTTTTGTATATACGTATATGTGTCTGTGTTGTGTCTCAGAAGTGTAAGCTTCTGGAAGGCAGGAACTGTCCCTCTTTTGTCTTTCTATACCCTATCAGTTGTTCAATCAACAACAGTTATTAAGCACTTGCTTTGTGTTGGGCACTGGGCTAGTTTGGGAGACAAAGAAGGTCGGAAACAGTCACTTCCCTCAAGAAGCCTACATTCTAATGGCAGAAACAACGTTTCGAAATCACAACATACAAGGTACACGGAGAGTAAATGGAAGATGAGCTTAGAGGGGGTGGCATTAGCACCTGGGGGACTTGGAAAGTCCTCCTGGAGGAGGTTAACACTGAAGTTGAATCTTAAAGGGAGCCAGGGATTCTTAGATGCAAAGGTTCAGAAGGAGCACAGAGCACAGCTAGTACAAAGGCATGCAGCGAGTGGGAGATGGGACCACTGTAGTGGGCCAGTATGGCTGGATCACAGAGTTCATGTTAAGGAATAAGATGTAAGAGGACTAGAAAGGTAGGAAGGTGGTGAAAACCTTTACATATCAAACAGAGAAGTTCCTATTTGATAGGAGAGGTGATAAAGAACTGTTGGAATTTACAGTTTGGTGGGGGGCCTTGGGGTTATTGATGACATGGTCAGATCTTCGCTTCAGCAGCTGGGTGGGGAACAGATTGGGAATGGAGAGAGCCTCGAGGCAGGGAGTCCAGGTAGAATGTTATTGCAATAGTCCAGCTGTGGGAGTAGAGAGCAGAAGACAGATGGGAAAGATGCCACGAAGGCAGAAATGATGAGGGATCTGCAAGGGAACAAGGGATATAAGAGTAAAGAGCAGTGTAGGGTTAGCCTGATTCACCAAAGGGTCAAGACTTGGAAGGGAGGAAAGTGTAGCCAGAACAGAGGGTAGGGAACCTTCGGCCTCGAGGCCACATGTAGGAGCCACACTTGTTGGCATTGTAGGTCACAGGGAGAACAAGAATGAGGCATGAGAGAGTTGGAAAGATGAAAGATTATTGTTGGATAAAGAAAATTCAGAAGTCCTAAATAAGGAAGTAGCCACTTTCAGTGATGGATATGATCATCCCTGGGTAGTGGCTGAGGTAGAAGGAAAACATTGGCTTGATTAGACCGAACAAACTAGGAAGTTAGAGTGTTTGAGAGAATAGCTCAGAGTCGTTCAGTTGTGTCTGATTCTTCATGACTCCATTGGGGGTTTTCTTGAAAGAGACACTGGAGCGATTTGCCATTTCCTTCTCCAGCTCATTTTACTGATGAGGAAACTGAGGCAAACCAGGTTAAGTGACTTGCCCAGGGTCACACAGCTAGGAAGTATCTGAGGCCAGTTTCGAACTCAGGGAGATGAGTCTTTCGGACACCTAGCTAGACCTAGCTTCTCCCTGTCTGGCTTATAGTAGGTGCTTAATAAATGTGTGTTGATTGATTTCAACAGGGACTAGGTGAGGGAAACAGAGGAACAAAGACCAAGTTGGCAGGGGTCTGCCTCCCTGCTGGTCTGGTACCGCAGAGGCCCAAAGTGGCCTGAGGGTGTGGCTCTGTGTGGAAGAAAGACACCTCAAAGACCGCAACTACACTCTTCCTTCCTGGTGAAAACCCCACTGGGCCCATCCCTCCTTCTCCTCTCTTCTCCCTGGGCCTGGGCATCTGCCAACGGAAAGAAACAGAGAATGTATGTTCCGTAGTGCGGCCTCTTATTAGACTACAGGACATTCCCCGAGAGGAGGGATCAGGTTTCCTTTCAACTTTGTACATTTTCTCTAGGCTCTAAATAGACTTCGAGGTGACCGAGCAGAGCAGACCGGTCTGGTAGGAGTGAATTAGTCCTCCTCCCTGCCTTTCCCCCCACTTACAAACGTGGAAACCGAGGCTTGTGGAAGTGGCTTGCCCAAAATCGGAATCACAAAAGGTCAGAGGCGGAAGGGATCTCGGAGGGCATCTCAGAATCCCCATTCCAACATTCCATAAAATGAATCTAGCCTCCCCTCTGAGCACATTTGCGCCCCTTTCCCAAGAAACCCCGGGCATTCCCCGAGGAGGGGAGCTAGCTGGAGCCGGGTAGGCCACCTCCCTTTCCCGCACGTCTCTTCTCCTCGCCCTTGCCCGGGCAGCGCTCCGCGTTCCGCGCCCCTGGGCGCACCGGGCTGCGGGGCGCACAGAAGGGGCAGTTCAGCTGGTTCTCTGCGGGCCGCGCCCGAAGCTGCCCCGCGCGGATTGGCTCGCGCGCGGCCAGGGGGCGGAGCTCTTGCCAGGTGAGTCGCGGACCCAGCCCCGCCCCGCCGTGGGCTCCCAGGTGTGCTAGGGGCGGAAGCCTGGGAGCCCAGAGAAGTTCCAGCTCCAGCGTCCCAGCCGCCGGCCGTCATGGCCGAGTCTCAGCTGGCCTGCCTGGAAGAGGCGAACGTGAACGAGAAGGTGACGGAGGCGCAGGCTGCCTTCTACTACTGCGAGCGGCGCCGGGCCGCCCTGGAGGCGCTGCTGGCCTCCGGGGACCGGACCTACCAGGACGTGCTGACCAAGGAGCGGCTGCGCGACTTTCTGTCCGGACCCGAGCGCCAGGCGCTCCGGACCGACTGGCGCCCCTACGAGGTGCAGGCACCGGGCCCTGCCAAGGGCAAGGGCAAGGCCAAGGGCCAGGCTCCCGCCCCTGCCGAGCCTTCAGCCTCGCTGGCCTACTGGCCCGACCGTTCGGACACCGAGGTGCCCCCGCTCGATCTGGGCTGGACAGACAACGGCTACTACCGGGGCGTCAGTCGCGTCACCCTGTTCACCCACCCTCCCAAGGAGGAGAAGGCGCCCCACCTCAAAGAGGTGGTCAGGACGATGATCCAGCAGGCCCAGAAGGTAGGGGCTCCCTCATCCCTGCGCCCACTCAGAGTGCCGACCAATGCAACCCTTTTCTTCCACAGGCAAAACTTGGGGTCTGAAAGTCTGCGAGGTGAGAGGCCCAAGATGCTAGGCCCCTAACGGGCCCGGGAACGACAGGATTTCGTGCTGGAAGGGACCCCTAGGCCAGTGGATTAGGCCCCAAGGGAGAAGGGATTTGCCCGTTCTTGCTGAGGCAGCAGGTAGCAGAACAGATTCTGATGCAGCTCCTGGGCCCGCCCACACCAGGGCACACCGCTAGAGCTTTCAGCTTCCTTACTTTCCTCCTGAGGTCCTTCCTCTAGGTATAGAATGATAGAGAAGTGGCCAGCGTGGTGAATCTCATGGGATCGCGCGATTATGTGCTGGCAGAAACTCTGGGGCATCTGCTCCAACCTTCTTTTACAGATGAGGAAACTGAGGCCCACAGAGGTGAAATGAGTGTTCAGGTCCTTGCAGCAACAAGCATCAGAAGGAGGATTTGAAACCAGGTCCTCTGAATCGCCTAGCCAGGTCCTTTGCACACTGAGCTGTGAGCAGACCTTTCTCTCCTCCCTCCTTCCTTTCACTCCCCAGGCCCACAAGTGTTGGCTTCCCATGTGGCTCTGGGTGGAAGGTGGTGTTCTCCTTCTTGTGCTGTTTCTGCTTTCCAGGCTTGGGCACCTGCCAGGACCAGGTGGCCATCAGAGGTCACTTTGCCTTACCGAGACTCAGTCTCTTCATCTGTTGAGAGGTGAAAAACACATTTGCACTCCCCTTGTCATAGGACCATTATGAGTCAGGTGCTTGGTAAACCTGCCCTAAAACTACCAAACTGAAAGTTATTTTGCTTTTCTTCTCCGCCCCCCCCCCCTTCTCTGGTCTTGTTGGTTTGGTTGACTGGCCCCACCTTTCCAGGTGTGTTTAGCATTTAAGGCCCCACCCCCAAGCCACTGAACCCTGGGGCCAAGCACAGTATGAGCTGGGAAGCCTGCTGTGGGGGAAGGGGCAGGGGAGCTGAGCACCTCAGCTTCTAGTCTGATCTGTAGAGACTCCCCAGGAAGAACACCCCTAGGGTTAATGAGCTGCTGGGGGAGGGGGGAGGGGCTCCTTTTGCAAAACTTCCCTTGCAAATAATAACCTTATGCTCCCACCCACAAAATGAGGATCCACTTCCCTGCCCAGTCCCAGTGACCTTTGGACTCAGACCTGCTTTGCTGATAATTAGGTTTGCCCAATTGTGGAGGGAAGAGGCGCTCTGGAAAAATTTTGCTGGGTTCGAGGAGGTGGGGGTGTCAGTGGGAATGGCTTTGTTTCCTTCTTCTCTTGGGGAAAAGGGGTGGGCTCTGGCTTTATGTTACTCAGGCCACCTGAGCGGATTGGGCTTGGTCAGATGGATTCAGCTGGGGGTGGAGGAGCTGGCCGGAGATCCTGGATGGAAATGTTAACCCTTCACTGTCCAGACAGTTTCTCTGAGCCTTTCTTGTATAGGGTTGTATTTATCCCTCCCCCAGAAACATCCGCACATATACGACGACACACGGATTCAGAGCTGGAAAGGATTTTAGAGATCTTCGACTCCCACTCCCTTATTTTCTAGATTAGGAAACTTGGCATTGGAACCCTGGTGTTCCCTTTCATCTTTCGTTCATCTGCCAAGGTGTCTTTTCCGAGCAAAAGTCTGACCACATCACTCCCTTCCTCTATAAACTCCCGTGGTTCCCTATTACCTCTATAATCAAATATAAACTTCACATTTGAAGCCTTTCATGACCTGACTCCAACCTCCCCTTCCAGTCTTCTCGCCAACGCCTCTCCTTGTGCACTGAAGTCTACCTTCTTGTGGTTCCTCAGACCAACTCTGTGCCTCTTCCCAGGCTGGCCTCCCTGCTAAGAATGCACTCCCTCCTCCCCTTTGCCTCTGAGAATGCCTGGCTAACGTCCAGAGTGATCTCTACGTGAAGCCCTTCCCTATTTCTTCCCCCCATTACCTTGTATGTGGCTTTAGATATAAGCCTTATATATGTACACGCTATCTCCTCTATACAATGTAAGCTTCTGGAAAGGAAGGATGGATTTGCTTTTGTCTTTGTGGCTGGCACCCTGAGATAATGGGATTTCCTTGGGATACAGAACTCTCAGATAGAGAAGCTCCCTCTCCCAATGCAACTTACAGTCTTGGGGAGTCACTTAGAGAGAGCGGCCCAGGTCACATAGCCAGTGTGTTAGAGGCTGTACTGGGAACCAGGTCTCTCTGTGTCTGAGAACACCTCTCTAGAAATATTTGTTGACTGACTGATTTGATTTTTTGGTTGAACTCTGATGGGGGTGGAGGGCTTGGGAAGCTCCCCTAGGTCAAGGACAGAAAATGATACTGGCACGAGCCAGCCTTGAGCTAGGCGGGTCTGGTCATCATGGACCAAGTATTTACCATGCCCTGAGCCAGGTCCAGGGTGCTGTGAGAAGATGGCATGGGGGGGGGGTCTTGTTGAACTCAACACCAGTACCAGGGCAGGGACCCCAGTTCTCAGGGGAGGAGGAGAGCACAGAACTCATCTATGATTGTGGTTCAAAACAAGCAGTTACAACAAAAACAGACAGAAGTGTCAACTCATCTCCAGTCATGGAGAAATGTTTGAGTACCTACTGTACTGGGATACAGGAGACTGGGGTACGAGCTGTGGCATGAGGGGAAAGAGCCATAGATGAGAGCTCAGAGGATCGGGGCTCCAATCCTGGCATTGCTAATTCCCTTCTTGGCCTCAGTGCCCGCGTCTGTAACATGAGACAACTGGACCCGAACGACCCCTGGGGTCCTTTCCATCACCGAATCCTGTTCCGTTCGGCCCATTCTCTTGCGCCAGATCTCCCAAGCCCTCTGTGCTTTCTCCTCTGCCATTGTTAACCCGGGGTTCCCCAGACTTCTGGGCCTGTTCCGCTGAGCTTTTCCTTCTTCCTTTTCATGGAGGAAGGAGCTGCTTGTCTCCCTTGTTCTGACAATGGAAGGGCGGAATTGGGGGGGGGGGGCTGTTCAGCATTCCTCCACTGCTGCCAGATGGACAGTAACTTTAGCAGCAGTGCTGAAAGGGAAGGGGAGGGAATGAGCAGTGGGGCAGAGGAATTTAGGCCTTCCCCGTACCTACCCATTCCCATTAGTAGAGAAGACCATTGCCTTTTCCCCCAACAGTAAGGCAGAAGAGGTGAGCTTTGAGCTAGACCCGACAGAAGGGTGGGTTGGGTAGGAGAGGGAATGTGGAAAGGCACCCGCTCTCCCCTTTATAAGCATCATCATAAGCTTGCACAGAGTCGGGTAATTTAAGATGAGAATAGACAAGATAGGTCAGGAGCTTAATGAGAAGACTCATCTGGATGAACCTGTCCTCTCTTCCCTTACCAATGGTTTCATGAAGCCAGTAAGACTATGCTTTTTATGAATCAACGTAAAGTCTTGCACCTGGGTTCAAAAACTCAACTGCCCAGGTATGGGATAAGGGAAGATGTGTCTAGAAAGCAGCTGATGTGAAAAGGACTTGGGTTTTAGTGACTACAAGTTTAGCAGTGTTACATGACTAGCCAGAAATCAAATGGGACCCTAGGCTTCATTAATGCAATAAGTTAGACTAGGGTCTTCCCTTTCCCTTTCCATACCACCTTTTGTGATTTATAGTTCATAAAATGAGTTATACGCATTCATCCTCATAGCAATCCTAGGAAGCATTGCAAGTATTCTCACAGAAGAGCATCATAGTTTTAGAGATGGAAGGCATCAAATCTAATCCCCTCATTTTACAGATGAGGAAACTGAAGCACAGACTAGTTAGGTGACTTGCCCATGGTCATACAACTAGTCTGAGGCCAGATTTGAACACAGGCCTTCCTGACTCCAGGCCTAGTATTCCTTCTGACTCTCAGCAGCCCAAGGTTAAATGAATTTACCTAAGATTACATAAGTAGGAAAAATAAAGAAGTGATTGTCCCACTGGGCAGATTATATCTGGAGTGTTGCAATCAATGCTAGGAGCCGCATTTAAAGATGTACATGGGGGAGCTAGAAAAGGATGATAAGGATAATGAGGGGACTTGAAACTATGCTCTCTGAAGAATGAATGGAGGCCCTAGAGATGGCTAGTGTGAAAAAGAGAGGCGTGCTTTCCATCTTCAGATATCTGAAGGATTCTCAGAGAGAAGAGAGATTAGACTTGTTCCATTGGACTCCAGAGGACAGACAATTATAGGTGAAAATTACAGGCAGAAAGATCTGGGGCCTTAAAGGAATTTTCTAGCAAGCAGAGCTGTTCCCTGTAAGCTGTTTAATTTAGTAGTGAGTGAGCTGCTTGTCCCTGGAGTGATTCAAGCACAGAGGCTACATGACAGTAGAGGGCATTTGGTCAGATTTGGGCCAGATAACCTCCAAGGTATTTTCCCACTCCAGAATTCTGTATGTCTGTATTCATTTAACCCACATAGGTCGCCAGAGATTTCTCTGCTCCCTTTGGCAGTCACTGGCCTTTCTCTTCATTGAATTACAGAACTTTGGAACTGGGAGAATTCCCAACCCAAAGCTGGAATTGAAGGTGGCTTCATTTGTGGGCCCACTGCCTGTTTTCCAGACTAAATACCACCTCCCCCTGCCCCTGAGTTTCTTCTGTCCTTGGATGGCCTGACTTCTGGTGGCTTAATGGACAGTGGTAGACTTGGGAATGAGAAGACCTTGGTGTGACTCCTGGCTCAGATATTTAGCAGCTGCGTGGATCTGGGCAAGCTGATTAACCTTCCAAGGGCTCAGTTTTCCCATCTACAATGAGAGGGTTGGATTGGATGGTTTCTAGGGCCCCTTCTAGCTCTGGATATGGGAGTCTTCCTGGGCCTCAGTTTCCCCATCTGTAAAATAAGGGAGTTGGACTCAGTGGCTTCTGGGGCCCCTTCCAGCTCTGGATCTGGGACCCTACACAACCCCAGTGTTGATGGAGCATTTTCCAAAGGGATCCTTTGGCTGAGGC